ATTCAGGAACTCCAGCTCTTCAAACCAGCGAAGCCCCAGACGTGTACACCGTTCTGAGACGCAGGGTGGTGCTTCCCTGCTTCTTGCATGCCAGCATCAGCACCGCTTCCTCGTCAAGGTGAGGAGTAAAGCAGCCAGTGACCCCCTTTTTTCACTGCCAGCAAAGGGGGTGCCACAGCAAGGCAATCAACTAGACTTCTTCCACTTTGGTACAACAGGCTGGTCAACGCGAAAGTGTCGGTTCTCCCTGCTTCTTGCTCAAGACCCACAACTATCAGAGCAAACATTGAGCAGCAGCAGCAAGTAACCCCTCCGCCGCAAACAAAGGGGTCAAACGTTTGTCGTCAATTCACTTCCAGGCAGAAAAACCATTTTCCTCAAAAGAAACAATTTATTTAGAATGAAACAAAATCAGCTCAACTGTGAGCGCATGTTTGAGTGACAGCTACTTTCAAGCTGTGTGAGCCATAAAAAGGGTATTCCTTTACTTTTCCAGCAATCTTGTGTACACAGCACAAAGCAAAGAGGTCATTTTTTTTTTCCACTTAAAACACGGGCATTGGCATCACAATAGCAGATACACAACTTTTTTTTTTTTTTAAAGCTTTCATTTTAGTAAAATGCACAAATACTAAACAGATAAGCTTTCTTCCATCAAGAGGCCCATGTAAAATCCACATAAGCCACAGCTTCTCTTGCCAAAGGTCCATTAGAGCTTGGTATCCCATGCGGTTGTTTCCTGCAGTCCACCAGCTTTGCTTGCAGGAGGAAAGAAAATGTTATTTCAATACAAATGTATACAACAGATTTTTTTTTTTCCCCCTCCCTACATTATACAGATGAAGATAAAGAGCTACAAGGCCTTTCTCAATATTCTACTTGGACTTCAAAAAAGCACCAATACCACCCACGGGAACGAAACCTTGAAATGAAGTCACCTTCTATGTATAGATGCATAACAAGTAGTGCAGGGCTTCTTTTTGGACCAAGATTAAACTAGGCTTACAGTACTGACGATTATTCAACTTTCAGTAACAGTTAATGGGACAGGTCAAAATAACGAGCCATGAGAAAAACCAACTGAATTACTGGTAATTCGGTTGACTTTCCTCAAAGAATATTTCCTGAAGGCAACTTCTCAACGAAAATATGAAATGTAGTGTTACACGTTTCTGTTTTGCTCTCATTTTGCTGGGTAATTCTAACAGCAGATAACTCCAATATTAAGGTGAAATCAAAAGACACACCTAACATAATTTAAAATTATTACTATTCAAGTAATATTTCTCATCCATTATTTTCACACAATCAAAACTGCATGAAGTTGAATATTCAATTAACCATTCTCCGAACCATACGGTCTGCTTTAAGCCTAATACAAAACTCATCTCATCATTCAGTTTCTAAATCACTGGAATATCTGTCCTTGGGTGCTATCTGCAGAACGTCATAATAAAAAAACAGGGGGGGAGACAAAAGGGAAAGAACCCCAAAAGCTCTATCATCACGCAGCAATAACTTCTTCCACTCCTGTTTCTGTTCAACAGGCGCCCAGCAGACTCCCCAGGAGCACTGCCCTCAACACTGTTTTTTCTTAAAGCCAGGAACTACGATTTCCCAAGCCATTTTTTTCCCTGAGTTCTCAGAGGTTTTGCACCTGTCTTCACAATTTTGATTCACCCCTCCTCCTCCCCATTAATACTTCAGGCCTTTCACCTCAGTCACCATCAACCAGACGGCTCCCCGACCAATGCAAGATATCCAAAACTCTCTTCTCCGCCCTCCACAGGGGGCTGAGCAAGTTGTCACCGAAACATTTCAATCCTTTAACATCCTCGTAAAAAAAAAAAAAAGAATAATCAAGAGAGAGGTGAAGATTTATCTGCCTGGCACGTAACGCCCTTCTCTCTCTACGAGGATGTGTCAGTACTTGTAACCCAGGAGCCCGAAACCTCCGGAGTCGAGGGTAACCTCAGCGCTCCCGCCGCAGCCCCGCCGAGGAGCAGACCGTACGCTGACGGGAGCAAACAAAGCCACTGGCCGACAGCCAAGGAAGTTGCGTAAAGTTTCCAATTAAAAAACCAAAACAACTAACATCTTAAACAAAGTGTGAGTCATTTGAGGTTCTTTCCCCAAAGTATCAAGCACAACTATGAAATGATTCAGGAATAGGACATCCTTTTTCCACGCTAATTCAACAAACTAATGAAACAGAGGAACATGAGCTGCACACAACGTTGGAAGAAACACCGAGCTCTCGCCAGAGCAACGTAATGCCAAACACAACGAGAGAGCCAAAGTCTGCTACATCTGTTTGCTCTATACAGAAGCGGTATCCCACACGGACTTCTACTCGCGTTCAGCCCTGGCCAAGACAGCTTTCAGTGGACAGCTACTCCAATGGTGCACGCTTCGGAGCCTAAGAGAAAAGCACAGCCGAGCAAGCTGTACCAGCCTTGATGGCAGCACGTGAACTTAAGTGCCGGCAAAAAAAACGTTGCCAGTCAACCATGTTTTGACATCAAGAACCCTCAAAGGGTGTTAAAATCCTTGCTTACAAAACAGAGCAGCAACCACAAACAAACCAGATTTAAAGAAGCAGGTACTCCATTAAATTAGGAACCAGAAAACCTGGAGTCAAATACAGCCTCGCCTGTTCCTTTTTACCCTCCAGCGCAGTACAATTTTGACTCATAAAAGCCCGTGGCAGGTATAACCACCGCTATTTTACAAGGGAGAACTGGAAGCGCACCTAGGATGCTCTTTCCAAGAGGGTTCCCACACGGAGTTTGCTTTGACAAGCTACGGTGACCCCAAGTTTTACGGCTTTTAAAACCAGGTGCCTACTGCGTATCAGCGTAACAAACACTGCTCTCGGTAAGTTTAAGTGTTGAACACAAACAACAGCAGTGCTTTTTTTTTTTTTTTTTTGGTTTAGGGCAGATTGGAATTCCCAGCGGTTCAAGTTTCTTTCCTTTAAAACTCCTGCGCTCGTGAGTGACTCCTGTCAGATGCAACAAGAAAACTCACTCTAAATGCAAGCGGCCTTTCAAGTGAGTCCGCAGCAGTGCTGATCACCCGCTGACACACAACAGACACCTGCTCCAATTAAAACAGACATTCTTTGCAATAAGTGGTAAATACGCTGTATCTTCTAAAACACATACTTCTTTGCGTTATCGGTGTCATTTCGAAAAATTCTCATTGTTAATAGGAAGATGAACAGCTGAATTCTGCCATCTATTACATTCACGCTGAAGGACAACAATCCAGAAATCCTGGATTTTACCCTCAAACATTTAAGAGCATTAAATGAGGCTTTTACGTTTCCATTTAGAAAGAAAAGTAGCTATAAAACCAAAATCGGTTTTCAAGATACGCTGCCACATCCAAGTTCTCAGTTCATCGCGATGCTTGGGATACTACACCTACTCATTCTGGTCCGATCTAGGAAATGAAAGCCCACTCCAACCAAAGCACTCTCTGACGAGTGGTTCAGTAAAGCGGGATCACAGAAACGCGTATTTTTGTGACAGCGAATCTCAAGCAAGTACAGTCACACTTCAGAACTGTTGTGCCCATGCAATACATTCAAGACACTTCCTCCTTCATGTACTGTTTGCAACCTATTCGGCATTTTGAACTTGATTTTTGTGTCGTGCAAGTTGAAATGGAAATCAACTTGTCCCTGTATCAACTGCCTGAGGAATACGCTGGAGGAGCAGCCGAGTGGAGCAGCATCGCTTTTACATTGCCCAAGGCTCTGAAAACACGGCTAAGTGCAAGACTACATTCTGGGTTTAAGTGCAAGATTACATTTCTGGGGATTGTAAATAGACAGAGTCATATTTACACTCAGTTTAGAAGCTAGCTGCAACACCCTTTTGGTTGTTTAACAAAACAACAGGGATTTAGATCCCTTCTTCCCTCCGAAATGCCTGTATCGGCAAGGCGGCCAAGGCAGCTGGAGGAAAGTGCCCAACGAGTGGGGAAAAAACACAAGAGAAAATGAACTAAGTTCTTGGGGAAAAAAAGCAAACTGGTTCCTCCTAGAATGACAGGAACAAGAGCTCAAGCCTCAGCATCTCGGAGTGCTTTTAATGCTTCTCCAAGATGCTAAAAACACTTTACTCCAGACGCCTAAAAAATGATAAACCTCATGTAATGCCCACTGTACTGTACCTGAAAAGTCCCTAGCAGACAGCAGTTTCTTGCTATTAACAAAGAGGTAAAACGTTAATGAGAACTTTTATGTAATTAAATTATCACAGAATTAAAACCAACTCTGGAGAGAAGCACACTTGCTCAGAGTTTGCACTGTGGAACCAGACCCCACTGTACCTGCAACCCTTTGAAAAAAGGCAGTAAAAACAAAAAAACCACAAGGAAACTAAAGTTACTCTTAAAGCACCTCCTTGTTTCTTGCATACCAGAGCGAGCACAAGACATTCATGGTTTGTAACACAGTCCTCGGCCATTTACCAAACTCTGTGCCTGCTACCAACCCAAAGTGCATATATGGGCTACAACAGAACTCTGAGAAATAGGAGAAATACACCTGTTAAAAAAGCGTACTTTCAGTGCATGCACTTTGAGGGGCTGGATGAAATTACCAAACACCCAATAAAGGATTTCAATGTTCTGCAATGTACCCGAGAGCAGGTGCTGGTCACCTGAAAGACATCAACCTTGAGCCATGCAACTCAAAGGGAAACCGTTCCGGCGCCCGAGGAGAGGGATCACGCGTGCCAAAGGGCCGCTGGCCTGAGGCCGTCACAGGATTTCAAGGACTGGAAAAATGAGCTGACACCAGCCCGCTAGTAAGCATGTGGTTTCCCATTTAAACTACCGAGTGCTTTAAATCTGGTCTTTTATGTTTTTAACTCTATCGAGGACGAGCTATTGAACTTACTTTAAAAATACATGAAATGAAAAAAGGACACGAATCAAAATTAAGAAGACGGGAGTTTGCTCTTCCCCCCCCCCCCCCCCGCGCTTTCCGGCTATCCCCACTGCGAGGGGCTTCTCAAAATACCCTATTCACGCTAACGGCTAACCAACCTTTCTGGCTTCTAACTTTATAGAAAAACGTAGTAACAGAAAAACGGGCAGGGAAAGTCACCTACAAACAAAGATCTAATTTAAAATAATGACAGGGCTGGCTAAGGCTGTATCCCATAGCACCTGGCACACGCTGGAGGGGCTGTGTGGAGGAGTAGGCAGGGTCGGGTACAGAGAACAGGAGGGCCTTAGGACGCCCCACGGACGATGATCATGACCAGATAGTCGTCCTCTGATTTGGCCAGCGCCTTGGCCGTGGAGTCCAGGAACTGCTGGGAGAAATCGCAGGGCGGAAAGGCGTGCAGGACCCCGCTGTTCTCCTTGTCTTTGTTACCCCCCACAGGGAGGCTGATCACCCCAGCAGCCTGCTTTTGCTTTAGATAGGACACAAGATTCCTGAGGGGCCTCTGGGTGGAGGTGTGGGCGGCCTCGGCAGCTCCGGCTGCGGAGCGGTTGTCGGATGCGCCAGGCACAGCCAAAAGGATGGCGTAGCCTTTGGGACCTGCCACTTTGATGCGACGATTGACCTCGTCCAGCTTAGGCTGGTCCAGACGAAGACGTTGGGTGATCTTGAGCTGAGCTACCTTCCCACCAGTCGCTCCCTCCACGAGGAGACTGCTGGCAACACCGAGGTCCCCCTGGAGCAGATGCATGTTGGATGGGAAGTTGCTGTTCTTCAGCAGAAGCATCCCCTGCCAAGCCAAGCACAGCTTGGGGGCTCCCCCAGCCT